AAGATGATTGTTCTGTAGACACACACACATACAGCTATACAAACAGGAGAGCCGACTGGAATCTTTCTTCTCCCTCCTGGAAATATATAGTTAGTAAGATACTGAAGCAGTTGTGAATTATTCATGGCCTTCATATTAGGTCGTTTATTTTTCCACATAATTTCCCGTTTTTCTTCTTCTAATATTCACAGGGCTGAAGGAAACGTTCCAGAAAAGCTAAAATATTGCTTCAAGCAGGAAACTCTTTTGAGTTGACTTGTGAGCTTTAGTGTTCCAGGAATCACTCGTGAGCTTCCAGTGTCCCAGGCATCACTCGTACGTAAACTACCAGTGTTCCAGTTATCACTTGAATTGTGAGACGATTTTTGTGTGACTCGTAGAAGCAATATCCGTCGCTGGCTTGTGGGGAATGTTTCTCCTTTGTTCTCGGACTTCTCGTCACACGTTGTCAACAAATAGCAACAAGGCGCGGCGGCATTCCCCAACTCTGGCGTCGAGGCGGCCGAAGAACAATATTTTCTTCAGATCACTGGCGTGTTTAGTGTAGGAAGATGAGGCGAACAGGGACGGTCACACACCTTTGGGAAGAATAATCTTTTTCAACTGTTTCTCAATCCTTCCGGGTCCCTAATAAAGGCAACAATAAGTTTGGGCCATAAACTTATTGGCAAGGCTTAAGTCATCGTCCACAAAGGGTTTAAGTCATCGTCAGTGGGTAGGTAAATGAATTAACTACTTAAAATCCCTTCACTATGTACAAGGTGTTCCAAAAGCCAGTTTATCAACCTCCTTTAGGTCCATCTCCTCCTCATCCTCTTCCTGATCTTCCTCCTCCTCTTCTCCTGCCACCCCTCCTCCTCTTCTTACTCCATCTCCTCCTCCTCTTCCTCATTCTTTTCCTTCTCCTGCCACTCTTCCTCCTCCAAGATACTGTATGTTTATGTATATACAGGTACCTATGTGTGTTTATGTACCTATGTGTGTTTATATACCTATGTGTGTTTGTGTACCTATGTGTGTTTGTGTACCTATGTGTGTTTGTATAATTACGTCGAATGTGTGTGTGTGTGTGATGTATGTACAGTACCTCTCATGTGTTTATGTGAACCTCCATGTGTGTTCGTTTGTGTATACACTGATATATGCGTGTTTGTTTTCGGACACATACGATACATACAAGTTCGCCCACCCGTATAATTATCACCAACACAGCGCCCTCTACCTTGTTCCACTCCAGTCGTCTAATCATCCCCGTATTATCTACTCCAGGTGAACGTGAACATCGGCCTTTGAGAATTTTAGAGGCCTGGTTGGCTTATCTTGATATCGTGGTGTTCTGTGTTTGGTCTGGCGTCTATCTGGGGAAGTCCACCTTGCATGTCCCGCTTTGTTATGCGTTTGTCGGTGGTGTTTGGAGAGCTGCTATCACGACCCGGGTTTTAAGGCTCTATGCACCCACACAACGAGCAACCAACATTAATTTCAATGGGTTTACCTCGTATGTAAAGGCTTTCATGCCAGGCAACTTAGTAATGTTAGGCAACTAGCGGAGAAAAATAATATGCTGTGAGAGAGATTTATTTTAGTTTTTCATTTTACTGGGAATTTTGAGTTTATGTGATCATGACTATAAAAAAAATACACCGGAGGAAATAAATCATTTAGGAATTTGTGTCTTTTTTCCTCTCAGGTAGACGACGAGGCAGGAGATGGACTCAATACCCGCCGACAGGAGCGCCACAACACACCTCACGCGACACCTGTACCTGAATGGCAGCCACTCACAGGTAAACATGATTAAGGCGAGTGATCTGGGTCAATAAGCAGCTCATCCACCATCACTCTCACGGGATTAAATACTCTCGGGTGTTTGTGCTGAGGGACTTATACTACCGTAAGTATATTTGAGGGATCAGTGTGTGTGTGTGTAGTGCATGAGGTAGTGTGAGGAGGCTGACGAGTGCAAGGGATCAGGTGTGAATATTTTTTAATGGATGACGTGTGTTGAGGGGCTAAGTACATTTAGTTAGTCCCTATTCCTCTTTTCCTGACCTAACTGACAGATAATTTTAACGTTTGAGGGACTTTTTTTAACTGCTATTTTGCTCACTTTTATTGTATAATATTTGTAGCTGAATTTTTTTTTCATAAATATTTCTAAAGATAATGTGATTTTTGAGTATCATTCCAATCGTTACTTAAGCCTCTGAAGCCTCTTGTGTAAAGTACAAAGATGTAGTCAAATTATGTGAAGTGTTCTTGAGTACCATGACACTGTACTCAAGGTATGACGTCATCGTGCGCAAGATACCTGTACAGGAACTCGTGTGGTCATGTCCCCCAACGTCAGTATTTCTCGGAGTCAATAATTATTTTGTATATGACTTGAATTAACCCATCTAGCTACAGTCTCTATTTTGTTAATCTTTTAATTAATTTAATAAGGTTTAGAACACACGTGTGGGTTCCTCACTATTAAACAGCTAAATCCCTCGTCATCATCTTTCACTTGTTCTATGACGTAACTGCCTCGACTCCATCTTTACACGACAATAGAAATTGAATTTACAAGATTCTTTATACCGGATCTATACACCTGGAAGAAAACACACACACACACAAAAATAGGACATTTCTGAGAACTATGTAGATGCCTTCACCATTCCAGACTCCACACGGCCAAACTCTGATGTTTATACTTTTTTATATATATAACCTGGAGAATAACTTTGGCCACCTTTACTCAACTCCGACCAAGAGTCTAAAATTGTATGATTCTCTGCAAATGAGACGACATTCATTTTTCAACATAACATCGTTCGTTTCCAGAGCACATCGATGCGTCTCTTCTTCCGTCGAGGTATGAGACGTGCGAGGAGTGTGTGAATGTGAAGCTAAGAAGTATGAATGTAGGAGCGAGCGAGGAGGTGTGAATGTGGGGGAATATGTTACATGGGGAGGAGATTGGAGATCGGCGGAGGAGTGGCTGGCGGCTCATACAGGTTCCATCATCACGGGATGCCAAATAGTCCCTCGAGAGCCGTTCCTGTGGTCCCCCAATGCGGCCAGCCTCCACCACCACCACCACCTTGAGCGTTCGTTTTCATTCTGGTTTTTGAGACTTTCACCTCACATAGGGAATTCTATCAATGTTCACTACTCATCAATATCTCTCCATATATCTACGTGTATTAACAGAATTCGTGTAAGTATCTAGACGGTATATATATTCAACAGGGATTCTCCTCTTTAGATCGTCACCGCCGGCACTAGCTTGAGACCTTCCCGCCATATTTGGGGATCAGGGCGGGAAATAGAAATACGAAATTGCCGATTTTCCTGTTATTTTTCAGGCGAGATATGACGGAGGAAATTGTTTCTCCAGTCCCCGCGCCTCCCGCCAGAATTTTCATGGATGATCTGCCAAGACGCTGCCATTTTTTTGTTATTTTTATTCTCTCAGAAACTCATTTGCGTTTATGAGTAGGTCTGGCTTACGTATGTTCCATAGCGTTAGTCCGGGTTAGGTTATAGGGTTTTCTTTTTCAGAGGACCCGGGTTCAAATGTTTTCAGTCACCTGTTTTGCGGAATTTTCATCTTTGTTGAGTATTGTGTTAATCATTAATTTCAATTGTTTGTCTTTCCATTGTTTATTATTTTGTATCGTATATTATTTCCTTTATTTAATTATATTACGAGATTTTATTATTCATTTCCGTATATTATTTAATAACCAAATAATTCACATTATTATTATGATTTTTTTTTTCATATCATCTTACTATTTCCTTTTCATTTGATGTATAAATTATTGCCTTTGCATCATTTATCAATTTATTTCTGATATTTTATTTATTTTTTATCTTTACTCCTGATCTTTTCTTTTCTGTTCTATTTATATATTTGTTCTTCCTGTCTCTTTGTTTTATTATTATTATTATTATTATTATTATTATTATTATTATTATTATTATTATTATTATTATTATTATTATTATTATTCACTAAAAATTACAAACGCGAGAATTATATTTACATTAGTAGTAGGTTCCCCCCCCCCCACAACACACACTATATTGGGGTCGTGTTTTAGCTTGTGTCTGAGTTTGTGCAGGCGAGGAGGTGAGAACAGAGGGGGTGATGGGGTGACAGGGTGAAGAGGGGTGAGGACCAGAGGGGTGATAGGGTGACAGGATGGAGAGGGGCGAGAGGGATGAATGGGGGAGGGGTTGTGGATCTGACCCATACAATTCACCTCTGTTATCAAGGCCTCCGCTGCATTGTGATATTCAGGTGGTGAGATATATATAAATGTATATAAGTTTTAATTACCTTTTTAATTGATCACCTGTGTGTGTATACCTGTGTTCGGTGTGTTTAACTAGCGAATAATATGTATGTATGTAATAATATATATGTAATAATAATAATAATAATAATAATAATAATAATAATAATCACAGAATAGTTACGTTAGGTGTAGTTATGTTGGGTTCAGTTAGGTTAGGGTTACATTAGGTTAGGGTTAGGTTAGGTTAGGTTACATTAGGTTAGGTAGGTTAGGGTTACATTAGGTTAGGGTTACATTAGGTTAGGGTTAGGTTGGGTTACATTAGGTTAGGATTTTTGATTTAGGTTAGGGTTACGATAGGTTAGGGTTAGGTTAGGGTTACATTAGGTTAGGGTTAGGTTAGGTTAGGGTTACATTTATGAGTATTCTGTTGTAATGATAAACTCTACATTATAGTAGGTGTTTAGTCTCTGTTTGTACACATACCAATGGATGTTATGAGAGTTTCAAAAAGGAAAAAAAAATATCCACAGGCTGACGGTAGTTCCCACAGCACGCCAGGGTGGGTATCATGGCCAGCTAATCAGTCTTCACCTTCTCCTCTTTACTACTTCATCACCAAAACATTCCTTAACTAATGGCCAGTCAAGTGACACATATATTGAGATTGACTGAGCCACGAGGATAAAGGTAACAGAAATATAGGTATTAGGTTATGTAGGTATAATTTAATTGCGATAGTAAAAATATCCATAGGACACATAATAAACGTAATAATAGTCTAAATATATACATCAGTTACAAATGAAACACTTTTGAACATTCTTACCTACGTGGGGGCAAATAATACTTAGATCTCTCAACCTCGCCAACAGGGACCGCCAGACACCAAGACGATACCACAGTGGTCAAATAAACTCCCATAGCTAAACTAATCTAGACATTAAAAATAAGATAAGGTACCAAAATTGTAAGGTCAGATTATTTAAATAAAATGTAATATGGATCTAAGGCAGGGCTGGGGGGGTAACTTATATAAAAGGGGTTTAATACAAGGTGTACGGACTCTCAACTGAACCTATACCTCAAAATATTACATAATCGTGACAGTGAAATAAACGGACATGGAACAATGGCGTTGATTCATAAAGGGATTAAGACATCATATAACAGTTGGAATTAAACATTACAGGAACGAGATACCAAACATAATAACAACCAACAAATCGAGAATAACCATGAACCAGTAGCAGTGGGTGAAGGTGTTCCAGACAAACTAACCCATCACCATGGGTGCTCCTTCGTCAGTTTCCATCATGGGCAAACATCTGTAGGGGCAACACGTCCATATTAATGTTAACAGTAGAATAATTCTCACTGGGTTAATACAATAAGTTATCAATGACACACACACACACACACACACACACACAAACACACACACACACACATGCACCAAGCACCACATCTAGTAATAAAAAAAAAGGTTTCGGTGCCACTTACTTGCACATGGAAGGCACCCAGACAGTGCCAGAGCCACATTCGCCCTGGTTGTTACACGGACAGGAGCAACGCGTCTGGTCCCACATGACGGTATTAGGGACCCGTCTCATACGCTCCTGACACATTTCCTTCGCCTTGGGCTTACACTCACACCTGCACATTTTCTTGTTGAACACCTGTAACACATGTTTACCTGTCAGCTGAAAGAAGTGGAATCAAAAAATATGGATATGACACCCACACACCCACACACATCCTCACCTTCCACAGTAAACAAATTCAACTCATTAAACCTACTATCTAGAACGTAATTAGCTAGTTAATTAATTCTATCCTGCGGCAGATAAACTCTACTCTATCCCTCACGTTTCCTAACACCTGTTCTCAAAGACACAAACCTTTCGTCACCTTACCTCGTTATGTCCACACTCTTTGGGATCCTTGTCACACCGGCAGCCACACGCGGTATGCTCCTGCACCGTCACGTAATCACATAGCATATCGACGTTCGTGTTGCCATTGTTAATCTTGTACGCTTGAACCTGTAGGGGGGAATTAAGGCCATCAATCCCTTTTTCTTCTCTCTACAATATTTATACGTTTTCACCGGTTTAAAATTTTCAGTATCTGCCAGGGATGAAGTTCTGGCTCTAGCTCTTATCTAGTTCTAGCTCTAGTTCTAGCTCTTGGCCTTGCTCTAGCCCTAGCTCTAGTTCTAGCTCTTGGCCTCGCTCTAGTCCTAGATCTAGTTCTAGCTCTTGGCCTCGCTCTAGTTCTAGCTCTAGTTCTAGCTCTTGGCCTCACTCTAGTTCTCGCTCTAGTTCTAGCTCTTGGTCTCGCTCTAGTTCTAACTCTAGTTCTAGCTCTTGGTCTCGCTCTAGTTCTCGCTCTAGTTCTAGCTCTTGGCCTCACTCTAGTTCTCTCTCTAGTTCTAGCTCTTGGTCTCGCTCTAGTTCTAGCTCTAGCTCTTGGTCTCGTTCTAGTTCTAGCTCTTGGTCTCGCTCTTGTTCTCGTTCTAGGTTTCGCTCTTGAACATGGTTTTCTCGACAACATCATTGGTATCTTTTTTAACTCTAATAGTAAATAAAAGCGAATTTGAAATCTATAGTATAACCTGTAGTCATGATGTGTACCAGAGGAGAGAGATGGTCAACTGCTGGAGTGTACTCGTCTGTTATGTACTGTAGCCTCTTATTGGGGGAGTATTGTCCCACTTGTATTATAAATCTTATGACTAGTGGTATATATACACAGTTTTCTGACATAAACCTGTTGTTATTATTATTATTGTCATTATTATTAACAGTAGTAGTAGTAGTAGTAAAAGTAGCAATAGTAGTAGTAAAAGTAGTAGTAGTAGTAGTAATTCATGTGGACTGACCTTGATCTTCTTCTTGTTGCCTTGTAGTCCAACACACTGATGGTTCGGTTGTTTACACATATGACCGTGACACTGTTTGACCACCACCACACTCGGGTACACCTGTGGGTATTCATTACACACAAACGTTACACCTGTAATCTACATTATATTCCTCGACATTGAGTTCATTATAATATGTTACTCTTCTCACTGGATCACCTGAGTGTTAAAGTGATGGCATTTCATTATTGTAACATTAAAAAATATTTCTTATTTCCTTGCGTTTACTCAGAATACAATTGTTATTTTTTTCCTTCAACTCATACTTAGAGTGACTTAGAATAACATGAATGTAACCCATATTAACCCTTTCACAGCGGGAGATTACCCTAAGCTGAATAAAATCGTCTGTCGGTAGCCAGAATAAAATGACAAGTGCGTGACACGCGGTGAAAGGGTTAATAAAGAGAAATTCTACTCGGAAAATACAGTTTTGGCAACACTGACATCCTCTTGAGTAACAGAGTAACTCACAAGTGCAGAGGACGATTATGTTTCACTTCACGTCATCTTTTAGAACAAGTCTGGAATGTTTCTGTTAACGTAATCACCACGACATTGAAGGTAGACTAACTAAACTTACTCGTATTTTGAAATGTTAAAAAAAAAAATCTTTCAGAGTGGAGTGTGTGTGTGTAGAAGAGACATTAGTAGTGTTATCTGTTTGTGTGTATTGGAGACATACTGAGTTTATGTTCTTACAGGAGACGTTAACAGTGTGCATAGAACATATACAGCATATTGTTTATTAGTGTATGTATAGATACAATGGCCGAGTGATTACAGCACTCGTCTCCTACACTAAGTATCGCTGGTTCGATTTCAGTCCTCCCAGTTGTAAAGGTGTACCTAACTTTACATGTGGAGAAGTGAAGGCAGCCGTGGCCAGTGTCGGCTACAGCTAATTGTGTACCGAAGCCTTAGTGTGCTGTATCCACATCGTCCCTAACGAGCAGACATCCATATGGGACTGACTTTTACCTTCAGTGTATGTATGTGTGCACTGGAGACGTTACAGTGTAGGATCAGTGAGGCCGTCCCCGAGTTAAGTCCTACAGTGTACCTTTGAATCCCTGAAATAAATCCTTAATGTCATATTGAATCGAAAAAGATATCGCATGTAAGAGGCCACTGGTGACTGACGCTCGTGTAAGCTGGTCTGGTGGTGTATCAAGAAACATTAACGAAGGAGAACTTACCCAGTCGTAACCAGGTGGTACTTCTAGAGCTACTAGGGTGTCCCTGGGCTCCACACAGGTGGCATGGTTCATCAGGTCCCTTCGTTCTATCAGCTCGCGGCGATTCCAACATTTGTTGCCTTCAAGAGAGGAGTAATGTAAACCATGACCCAGGGTCCTTAAAAGTTTGTATGTTAAATATTGCTGGTAACAGATGTAAGAACCTATAATACACGTTTATTTCACCTAGATAAAAATAACGTCATATGGCATCAAGATTACGCTTGTGAGCTGTCGTAAAGAGATACAGTCTCCCTACACTATATAATTCTACATAAAATTCTATAATGACTTTTATACTTTCCCTATACTTGTATTTTCTACTCGCAAAATAGTCTGCCTTTGCTCAGGTTAGGTATATAATGTATAACCTTTATTGTCACAGTTTGACCTCCCTGACACGGGTAACCAGAGTTAGAAACGGGTCAAAGGTCAAGGTTGGTGACCCGTTTCAACTCTGTGGGTAACTTACCTCCCGCAATCTCCGTGACAATAACTCACTCAGGGATGATATTTGGTCAATAGTAAAGTTTTAGGTCTGTAACTGCTTCCGTTTTGAAGCTATGGCTGTAACAGACAAACACACTCACAGATAGATACGACCTTTTGTTATTAGAGATATTGTCTATTGAATAATTAGCAAATGTGAGTTACGGTAAGTCGTTGGTGGTTGCTTGAATACTTTTACATACAGTATATATCCCATACAAACAGAAAATTATGAATAAACAAACACACACACACACATACGCACACTAATACAAACATAGGTGTTAAATGAGGCATATATTACACAGCCTTAAGTGACTCACCTTCTGTCAGTGACCCGACACAGAGCAGCACCAAACACACAACATAACCAACCATCTTGTCTCTTCTACAGATCTTAATATTAAACTTTTTCTATTATTACTATTTTCTTCTCTTCAGTGCCTTGTTTCTTGCACGTGAGGGTATAGAAGCAGTGAAGAACGAGCACTGGAGGCGATGTCGTGTCTGGAGTGTAGTGAAGTTCGTCCTCAACTGTGCTGGCCATCCTGTGATACACTCCTTGGGTCTGTGGCGGATGTTCGAGTTTCCAGTTTGTTTAATTAATTTCTCGTGGTTACAAAATGAATAGAGGAGTGGTCTTTAGCCCTAATTACGTGACATTGTCAATCTTTCATTGTAACTTAAATGGAAATCGCTGTTGAATGTTCAACATAACACGTGGTGTTTGTATCCACCGTACAACCTCTGTACCTGCTGGGCTTGAGAGCTCAACAGTCTCATGTTAAGGTTACATCTTTATAAAAATTATCCTCGAACTTGCGCGGTTAGGCGTTAAAGGGAGACTTCTACAATGGATCGCCTCTTACCTCACTGGACGTCAGGCCCGGGTTCTCGTTGAAGGCTCTATGTCTCCTGTTCAAGAAATGAACCTCGGCACCCCTCAAGGTGGAGTCCTGAGTCCCACCTTGTTTAACACTCTGATGCACTCCATTGCATCTCTCCCGTGGCCGACAGAAGTTGTCCACTCAGGATATGCCGACGATGTCCTCCTCCAAGCCCCTGACTACCTCAGCATGCAGGAAGCCCTTGATCTGGTCTCCAGAGAGTGTGATTCACTTGGTTTCCTTCTTTCAACTGCGAAAACAAAAGCCATGTGGCACGGTCGTGTTGTACCTCCACCCCTTCTCTTATCAGGAACGCCCTTGGACTGGGTTAATGAGACAAAATACCTGGGTGTGTATGTAACTCGCACACGTTGTCAGATCCCTGAAGTCCGCTATCTTCGAGACATATGCTTTCGGCGTCTCGCTCCCCTCTCTACCATGTGCAGGGGTTCCCTTGGTGCCACCATCCCTGTACTTCTCACCATGTACAAGTCCTTTGTCCGTTCCTGTGTCGACTACGCCGCCCCTGCCCTCGTCAACATTAGTCGGACTGCTGTCAACCGTCTCGAAGTTATCCAGAGGAAAGCTGCTCGTATCATCCTTGGGGCTCCTCAGTGGACACGCTCTACTTCTCTATATACCGAACTTGGTCTTTCCCCCTTACAGGATCGTGTCCAGGAGTTTTACCTAAAAACTGCCGTTTCCATTCTACGGGATCCTCGGGGCAACTATGTCCAAACCAACTTGACTCCTGCTGTCCGAGACCGACCTCCATCTAGAAGACAGTGGCGAGGGTCACTCATCCGAGCCCTTCAGGAACACGACCTCCTGCCTGATATTGTTGTCACCCCTGCTGTTGGTTCGTCTCCTTCTCCCTGGCTGGATTTTCAACCTGAAGTGATTGCCCTCGGTGGACCGCTCCCGAAATCCCAGGTGAACCCTGTTATTCTCTGCAAATACCACCTCTCCAGGATCGCCCACTGGTCCCCAGGTAGGGTCGTCCTCTACACTGATGGTTCTGTTGACCCCGCTACAGGTAGGGCCGGGGCTGGTGTCTACATCTTCCGTCCTGATGCCCCTGAGCCTATCAAACTGTCTCTCAGAGTTTCTGACGGGGCATCCTCCACTCAGGCTGAACTAATAGCCCTCCTTGCTGCTCTTCTCGCTGAGGAAGAAGCAGATGGTTTCTGCCCCTTGCTTGTCTGCTGCGATTCCAGGTCTGCTCTCGACGGGATCGCATTTGGATCAGGGGAAAATAAGGACCTTATCCTCCGAATACGAGGGTTAACATCCACACTTCAGGATGCAGGCCGTCCTGTGACATTCCTATGGATACCCAGTCATGTCGGTATCTTGGGGAATGAGGCAGCAGATGGCCTTGCCAAGACTGGCTGCAACAAGGCCACACCTGACTACATTGTTCCTCGAACACTCTTACAGATTAGGACCCAAATTCGCCGCAAACAGAGAGAAGCTCGGGAAGCAGCCATCCCCCTGGACTCCCCGCCCACCTGGTACGATGTCCTCCGTAAACTTCCTGACCTCTCGTACGTCTACGGGAAAGGGTCGCGGAAAGGGGACGTGATTGCTGCCCGTATCATCATTGGGTATGAGTTTGCTTGGGAGATTGGTATCCCCGCATCCCCTGAGCAACGCTCTTGTTCAATATGCAGAAGACCCGACAGCAGCACCCTTATCCACTACCTCCTAAGATGTCCCCACACACAACGCTTCCGTGACGCCTGCTGGACCACCACTCCACGACCCCCTGACGGAGACACGATGATCCTCCCCATACTGGCCAGATATTTTGTAAATAATATTGATTATGTGTTAAAGGAATATCCTTCCTTCCTTAGGCTTTAGTAAGCCCCTTTATAATATTTATACTGTATATACTTGTCACACTTGCCAGATGCTTCTGGTGTCATTGTACAGGGGTACCTAGTGACAGTACTAGGATTCCGCTTCCTCTATCAAGGAATAAACAATTGAAATTGAAATTGAAATTATCCTCTAGGTTTAATGACACTTTGCTTGATTATAATATTGTTATGACTTGACCAAGTGAACGTCTGTGGTCAGCGTCCATCATTAGAACACTGCTACATGGCGTTATATTTTTCCTTGTGAATGTTCAACTACTAACGTCATCCAACACCTGTAATTTCAAGGAGTCCGGAAACCCTGTCTTAAAATATCTAAACTTGCCACTGAATACTCCGGCGACCCAGGAATCAACGTGGCTATGTATAAAACTCTTGAATAAAAGCTTTATTCAATTAAACTTTTGATAATCGTTCATTACCATTGTCATTCCCAGCACTGATCGAGCTGCGGTTCTAAATGTGATCACTGTGTGTTAAGACAGGATGTAGTGGTACAGTATATCAAGCGGTACTCAGGCTATAGATACTACGTTGACTGTTCCACAAAAGGAAATTATGAAACCTGGTAAGAACCCATCCTGTTCTCACCCCTCCTTCACACTGTCGTCACTGTATGTAATAACGGAAGAATTTACACAAAACTCTCTCTATTTTTAAAGATTCACACGATACGTTCGTTGATCGGAACTAGGGGGAGTGTATCAACGTCCGGCTGGTCTTTGCTTTGATCACCTTCACCGTGTCGTCAGGTGCCTCCTCAAACTCAGGCACACTCACACACAGGCGCTCGCTCACACATACATAGACATTCACATACACACGCCCATTGTGTATCTTCAATCAATGAATTATTATTATTATTATTATTATTATTATTATTATTATTATTATTATTATTATTATTATTATTATTATTATTATTATTATTATTATTATTATTGTACATGCACATGCACTCTACCCACACTGCACATCTCTGCTCGCCCTGCACATCTCTGCTCGCCCTGCACACCTCTGCTCGCCCTACACACCTCTGCTCGCCCTGCACACCTCTGTTCGCCCTACACACCTCTGTTCGCCCTACACACCTCTGTTCGCGCTACACACCTCTGCTCGCCCTACTCGCCACTTCTCGCCCTACTCGCCTCTTCTCGCCCCCCACACGCCACTTCTCGCCCCCACACGCCACTTCTCACCCTACTCGCCGCTTCTCGCCCTACTCGCCACTTCACGTTCTACACGACATTTCTCGCCCTACACGCCACTGCTCACCCTACTCGCCTTTTCTCGCCCTACACGCCACTGCTCACCCTACACGCCACATACACCTCCTCTTCAACGCCGTGGTGGGTGGCAACGCTTCAGTTCCCGGCCACAAACAGGCCAGACTTAGCCAACACAAACACCGCTAGTCTGAAAACCTGTGATTGTTGACTCCCCCTTCCTGAGCGGCCGTGTTTGCTGACTTGATAAGGCTGCAAAGTTGGTGTTTGCTGAGTAAATTCTAATCTTGTTGGACATATTGAGAGGAAGTCGGCCCTGATATTTGTGTTATGGATTGAAATATATCCGTTAGTATAGGAACGAGTGAGTGAGTTATTTTACCCGCCAGTATTTGATTGTTATCCGACAGGGCTAAGAGACGACTAGAGTTTGTAAGCCTCACCTAAATTCTGAGTACCTGGTTGATTATCTCATCACCCGGCCGTGTTGGTTGTATGGATGGCTGCTGCTGTTAGGTGGATGATTATATCTGGGGAATAATAGTTGGGGAGGAAGAGGAGGCGGGGAGGATAAGAAAGAGGACGTTGAGACGCAAGGAGGATGAGGAAGCGGGGGAAGATAAGGAGGTGGAGGAGGATAAAAAGGCGGAAGAGGAGGAGGTGGAGGAGGTGGAGGACGGGGAGGAGAAGGACAAGGAGGACGTGGAGGAAGAGGAGGCGGAGGAGGACGAGGTGGCGGAGGAGGAAGAAGATGACGAGGAGGCGAGGGAGGATAAGGAGAAGGACGAGGAGGCGGAGGAAGAAGAGGAGGCGGAGGAAGACGAAGAGATGAGTACAATATGGAGATTTAAGTAGGGTTATGGAAAATACTGCTGTATGAGGTTCGCTTATATGTAAGTAATTATATTGTCGTTTGAGAGGGAGGAGGAGGATGAAGTAGTGGAGGAGGAGGAGGAGGAGGTAGAGGTGAAGAATGTAGAGGAACAGGAGGAGGGTGAAGGGGAGAGGCAGGAAGTAGAGGAAGAGAAATAATGAACTGTGTGAAATCAGGGAAACGAAAGTTTTACCATAGGCGAATTAAATTCCGTTAATTTGTAGCCATAAGAACAAAAACAAAATCCCCATTTGCCAAAGCCTCCGTTGATAAACTTAATGTGGTCAAATGCAGTGCCGGCCACGCTGCCTCCACGCATACTGAGGGCTTGGTAGACCGTGTGCTGTATCCACACTGTCCCCACTGTCATGTTATATGCTAAGGAAGCACGTTATAACACACTTAATTTAAAGATATTAACAATTAAATTCTATTAATCCCATTTTATTTAGCACAGGGGATCCCGTACACAAGTGGTTAGTAGAGTACGCCTGAAAGACCTGGAAGTGATGCTAACAGAGAAAGCAGTGATAGGAGTCAACAGTAAAGTCCTGGTGATTGCCAAAGTTGAACTTCTCAGGAGTTAACTCTACCACATCTTACTTAGATCTAAAGTTTATCGTCTTGTGTTATTACGTCTTGAATGCCAACGACCCTGGTCAGAATTGTGAGTTGTAGGTAAACTTTCAGGACTTAGATAGTCAGTAGCCTTCTTGAACTGACGATAGTTTTTGGAATTATGAAGCCACATATAAGTTAAATGAGTAAATACATCCTCACAGTTGTTCTTATTATGACTATAACTATTCTGTAACTACGTCACCCTTTGTTTACCGCAGTGTGAATTTGGAGAACACTCGGGGTCATTTTCGCTCGATATAACAGAAGTTCGTGTTATTATAGCGGGAAAGTGATGTTAAGGGAGCGATTGTAAAATTGTTTTTGATCCAAGTATTTATATCCTATAATTTCTTTCGTTATCTATGTGAGAAGTGTAGAGTCATCAATTAATAATCACAGGATGAAACAAAAAACAAAAATACAAGCCATCTATTTTGAAACTACAACATAGAATATAATTGACATAAAAAATAAGATTTGGAAAATTTATAGTCATCCCTAAAACTGTTCCAGAAAAAGAAAATGTTGCATTTACAAATAGAGAGCATGGGGTTGTGGGGAACTAATGTGATGTAATAATTCAGTATATCGTCTTTCTCTTCTAATTTAACAATGAAAAGAGACTGTGGATTTCTCTTTACACAAAAATCATTAGTTTATTCTTTATGTAATTCATGCATTTGTAAATCACAAACAACTTATATGCATCTTTTATTCACAAATTTATGTCATTTTTGTTTTACTTGTTATTCCCCCAACCTAAAACAGAACCACATTAGAAATAAAGTTATAATGGATTTCCTGGGCTACCCTTACTCGAATCGTTATATTGTTCAAAATTTGTGGTATACCTGAACTGTGTGTACCTTGATTATCATCCTGATCACCTTATCTCGGCAGGTTACGTCTGCAACGTTCGTCAACACATGCTGCTTCTGAAGCCCTAACACTGTTGCCTGCTGATTTAACGGAAAGGTGAGTATTATTGAATATTCTTTTTTTACATATGGTAGCATTCACAGCCCGGTCTTAACACTTTATACTGTACTGTATTCTCTACTCGCCTGTTTCTGATCAAACAGTCTATGGCGAATAATTTCCCCTACTGCCACTTTAGGTGAAGGCTAGTTATATTGAGGATGAAATGAAACCTATCGTCCTCTTGCCTCCTTTCGCCACCTAAACCTTGCCAAAACTTAGGAACACCATTGGAATTTACGTAAGAGCGTCGCAACAGGGGACGATAAATTTTAGTAAAGTTATCCATTATACATTTTCTGTGATACAAGAAAAATTGAGAAACTTGTTTGGGATACTATTTTATTAACTCCTCTAATAACCACATAACACAACCATCGTCGGAGACAACAAAGTTTTATTTCTGAACAATGACTCAATGAGGCTTAACTTTCCTCGTAATATATAGGAATTATAATATTCATAAGTAATCTTGTACACTTAAGAAAACTTCTTCAAAAAATTACCGGCACGCGCAATTCTTGCAGCACAACTTCGTGACAACAACATGTGTAAAGTCCTGTCCAGGCTAGACCAGAACAGTGCGGTAATAGGTATACCTAAGAGCCTGTTCACATACAGTATTCAACAGTGTTCAAAGCTGTACAGCCGACCACTGATTAGATATTTAAGTTCACCGCTCGAGGTTAAAGAATCCGCAAGCCCAGAAAACTGTGAGGGTTAACTTTTTTGGAGTGAGAGTTGTGAACTCTTGGAACAATCTGCCAGAGAGTGTTGTGACGGCACCGAGTGTGAGCTCTTTCAAGATCAGACATAAGAAGCACTGGAGCAGGTTCAGAAACATTCAGGAGCCAGTGCATGCCCAGTACTTGCCAACAGTGTGTAACAGAGACGTGACTGATCGCCCAAGAGGATAAAAAAGAATATATATATATATATATATATATATATATATATATATATATATATATATATATATATATATATATATATATATATATATATATATATATAAAACTAGCGAATAGAATTTGAAAGTAAGAAGTAATTAAGTAAAGAAAGTAAGTAAGTAAAGTAAGCAAATAGATAAATAAGTAAAATTAGTAAATATGCAAATCAATAAGTAAAGAAATTACTAAGTAAGCAAGCAAGAGTTCAAGTCACGAGCAACATTGTGACCTCCGACCAGTAGCGCCACCGTCTGCATTAATGCTTCAGTTAGGGATGAAAAACAAAGCCAAACAAACTTGACCCTTACCAGTGTTAATTTGATTCTCAGACTTACTGTAGGTGTATTGGAACCATTACAACAACAGCACTGGACATGTAGGGGGCTATTATTTTATTTTTATTTTTATTTTTTTATTTATCTAATTTATTTGAATATTCTTTCTTTACATTTCTAAGTATTGTTTTAGTTTTACGTTTAGGTTTGTCTTACTTACTTTATTGTTTATTTTGTATATATTATTTTATATATTCAATACTCACGGTAGCCGCCACCACCCAGGTTTATATAACAACATTAACCAGTGAAACACTTTGGTAGCGGAGTGGCCATGGCTAGGCTCGTGGGTTCTATTGTATTCAATGGTATAAATTATTGGGGGAAATAAAAGGTAGATACTGAAGTGGTAATGATAGTACAAAAAACATTAAGGTTGTTAATTGCAAATGAAGCAGAGGATGGCAACACTTCCCCAGAGAACAAAGCACATGAATCACTCCCTGGAGGTTCACTCAAGAGTTGGAAAAATTTTCATTAACACTGGTACAAATTATCACAATACCACTAGGCATTACTTCACAACAAAAATGAGTATTTAAATTTTACAGAAACAATGTTCAGTAGAAACTACTACAACTCACGCACAACAATAATGGATCTTTGAACCTTCAATTCATTACCAACTGTCCTTATTCTTTATTGAACTCTAACAAAACCCGTCACAAGACTGTTATTTGTACCGTAGTTATTATTACTCTCAATACTGGGGAAACAGGTTACTCTGACCTTACAACACAGGACGCCTCGGTAATAATGTACTCAGTGGGAATAATATACGACAGACTAATACAAACTGATACATACAGGCTGAGTACACAGGGCTCACGTCAACTTGGATTAAAAACTTTGCCGTGCGTTCACACTCAGTGAAGCCGCGACCGGGCCCAAGCTTAGTGAAGCTGGATCTAGGCTCTGGGCTCCGTCGTGAACAGCTGCACACGTAGGCCCACTTGACTCACACTCTGGCGCGCCACCCACTTCAATCTTAATCCAGATTTACTCAATGCACCCTACCTCAGACATCCTGCCGGCAGCCCCAAGAACACACACACAGTGGAGATCGCATCTAGAATCATATAAGGTCAAAATACTGCACAAATGTCACAAAATACATTTTGTGTAAGAAAGTGAATGGAGCATGATCACTTAACACATGATGAGACGTTCAGTTACGTTACATAATTACTTGTATATTCAAACAAAGCACAACTAAGTCAAATTTACTTAATATGACGGTGGGGTGGGGACACGGATTTTCATATACCTGGGTACACGGAGGAAATCACAGCTAAAATAATGATTCTCGCTGAGCTCGCGATCGTATGCCCCAGGTGTTACACAGTTGGGATTTTCACGGACCTGTTTATCGTCTCAGTTACTGTACACATCGTGCTATAAAAATCAGTACTACGGATGTACATTTATTTCTTGTGGCTTACGTTTAAAATTTAATCAGTGTTTGAGCTTGGAATGCATCAATTATATTGGTTACAAGAACATGAGATGGCATGCACTTCAGGGACTTGTGGCCGCTGACAGGTTCTCTCAATGATTTATGATTTTCTTCAATATAAAAATGACAATTACTTCAAGACAGTCATTACTTTTGTCTCTTATAGCTGTAAATCAAATAAATACAACTTCAGTTTTGAATTGGTATCTCGTAACTTCACGAGAGGCAAAAACGGGGATCATAGGCTTTGCTTGGCATTCAAACACATCTTCTTAGTACATACATGTAATTGATATTGAATGGTACATGTTACAAATTAAATTTAAATTTACATATTTGGAGGGCACTTCAGGTAATATAGAAAATGGACGGTAGCTCTCACTCGAGAAAACAAGTCCCGGGATAACTCACTAGTTTCACACATGCTCTATGGACGACGGAGCATAATATGAATAAGCATGGGTATTAATATATTATATGTGCAACTGTAACCGTTACAGATGTACTCACACATTTATGGACAGAGATATATGTAGATTATGTTTACATATATTGACGTGCCCAAGTCATAGTGTTCGCAATACTTAGGGTTATAAACAAAGCACCGATACAGTCAAACACACGCGTGTATATCCACAATGCTAAAGAGGTTTACCTATGTTTACACACATGCAAACGTTAAAATTACGTTAGAACTTATTTCACTGTCAATTTAGTGTTTATATAACGCACAGTAAAAGTGACTAAAAATGTTTATCGTTAATATCTGGCATGAATAGTAAACACTTGTAAAATGTTTTGAGCCAGCACCCTATTGATTGATAATATAAACATTATTTGATTTAATTGCCTTTTGATGTGTATCTGTTTTGCTTTATCTCCAAACTGTGAACAAAGAAACAAGTTGAGTTTTGAGAGAATGAAGATCAGACATCGTATATTTTTGACCTTTTGTAATACCCTACACAGTTATTTAGTTATCCTCTACGACTACAGTATTACTCTTACTGATAGTTAAAATATATCATCTACTGTATAATCTTGTAGTAAGTCTCTCTTAAGAATCTATCATCACAATGGCACTATAAGGTTGGCACAAATCTCTATCACTTTCTTAAGGCACTATAGTCAGCCTTCTTCTGCACTGTACAGTACACATCTTCACACCACAACATTCTCACTATTTTTGTACGCCGACCGATCAAATGGGCCCCCAGTCCTAATTAGCCCCAGTTCTAACGAGTCCTAACACTAATGAGCTCCCATCTTAATAGTTGAAGCCCCTTTAACGAAAACTTCTCACTAATTTGTACAATAGCTAGTCAAGTGGTCCCTAGTGTTAATGGGCCTCAACTCTAACGAGGTTATGGTTAGTTAGGGTGGGATTGGACCTGGCAGGACTGAGGACCATTTAACCTGTAGTATCTTGGTCAAGGTGTGTTCCACTGTCCATATTACTCACACACACACACACACACACACACACACACATGAAAATGTACCAATATAATTGTTAACAAGACTAAACTGTCCCTATTAAGAGCCTTGTGATATTATAATTTCACTCTACTGGGACATGTGGATGATGTAGTTCTTTGTTGTTGTTTGTTAAAGTATTCCCTGATCACGGTGGACAAGCCCAAGATGTCTCTCCACAACCTCTGCTCGTATGCTTTGTCTTTTTACTTTATAAAATCACTATTTTTTTTCTTTTCATCCCAAATCACATAAGATGCACACCATCCCATACAACACGACATGATACCGTATATTGTTGTTTCATTGGCCAGGGTCTTTAAATACCGTTCACCAGGTCTTACTTTTTTTTAGCATATATGTTGTTTTCTAGCTGCACGTTGACCGCCTCACAGTGCATCACGACAGAGGAACACAACTGATATATTAGTGATTTTGAGTATTGAAGCACAGTGCGTTTTTCATCCGTGAATACTGTATTAATTTACGTGTTAACTTCTTGCCTTACAATTAGTGTAACGTGTGCACCATGATGCGTTAAGTCTGCCACATCCAATAATTTACTCTAAAGTTGTCAGTCTGCTTTAAGGGGAATTTTGGCGTCTTTTATACAGCCTTGGAGATAATTTTCCTTAACTATTTAGTAGCAGTAAGTAGTGGTAGTGTTTATATCCATCAACACCCGGATTTAATTTCAAAGGCTTTATTAGTTCATCTATATAAAACATTACACTGCAACAACGGCTTTTTCACGACTTCTACTTGGTAAACTGAAGCCTGGCGATGGTGTGGTGGTGTTAAGAGGTTCTCGGGAAGTTGTAGCCTGGCGATGGTGTGGTGTTAGAGGTTCTCGTGGACCTGTAGCCTGGCGATGGTGTGGTGTTAGAGGTTCTCGTGGACCTGTAGCCTGGCGATGGTGTGGTGTTAGAGGTTCTAGTGGACCTGTAGCCTGGCGATGGTGTGGTCAGAGATGGTGCCGTTAGCTATGGCACGACACAGGTGACGGTCCCGGACATCCCCCCAGCCGCCGTTCCCATTCTTAGGTTTACCTGAGCTCCGGTAAACACTCTGCAGCTTGAGGGTATCCGGAAAGAGATACTGCTTTGACGCCTTTATACGGTTGGCGGCTTGCTGCACCTCCTTACGCACGTCGCACAACCGCTTTTTGACGTGCGTCCCACTGAGGAGAGACAATGTACACTTAGTACCACATACTGACGTTACCATCGTTACAGTCCACACCATCATTGTTATGCTTAGTACACACTGAGAAAGAGGAGAAGGGGAGTTAGAGAAGGTAGAGAGAGTTACAGAGAACACTATTTCCTGACCTACTACTTACCGAATGTAAGACCTACCGAATACCCGCATATAAGACTTACCAGCTACCGAATACCCGCATACAAGACCTACCAGCTACCGAATACCCGCATACAAGACCTACCAGCTACCGAATACCCGCATACAAGACCTACCAGCTACCGAATACCCGCATACAAGACCTACCAGCTACCGAATACCCGCATACAAGACCTACCAGCTACCAACGTGTAAGACCCTGGTGAGCCTGACAGACAACATGGACATCCGGGGCTTGAGGCAAGTCTGCACCAAGTTGTTCAGTGTCCAATCCCAGTTGTAGTCGTCGAAGTCGCAGAAGAAGGTCTTACACCTGGTTAAGACGTTCCAGGCGACTGAGTCCAACGCGAAGCCCAGGTTGTATTTCGTGACCCACCAATCACCTTTCTCCACCTGCGGGTATAAAGCAACATGTAACACAAGGAGAACGGGACTTACGTGGCGACAGAACCACAACACTCACTACAACAGTCACCACAACACTCACCACAACACTCACCACAACACTCACCATATTTATGGTTTTTGTAGTTTTTTTTAATGAAAGGAATATTAATTAGGTCCAATCACTAACATTATCGTTCAGGTTTTCCAAGCTCGTGATAGCTCCCCACGACCCATCCGGCCTCACGCAGTCGTACTTCAACCTCACAAGTTTATAACACGATAGAGTTTATTCTCGTCTTAATAAACTAACGAGCGGTATTTAAAAACAGTGTGTGTGTGTGTGTGTGTGTGTGTGTGTGTGTGTGTGTGTGTGTGTGTGTGTGTGTGTGTAATAATAATAATAATAATAATAATAATTAACGGTTTATTGAAAGAACTTGGCAGCCAAAAGGCTGAAAATATACAGTTACATATTTGGGGAATGGGTTTCGAATTACAAATAATATACAAGTAACATAAGTGATATAAATAAGATGTGTGTGTGTGTGTGTGTGTGTGTGTGTGTGTGTGTGTGACATATCCAGAAAGGTGACAAAAATTACCACGAATTCAAGTTGTTAATGTACAAGCTCAGAGAGGTAATAGCAGCACGTTATACAATGTCTTGCTGATAAAAGTCTAACATTGATTTATGAGGACAGTGGTTAGGTTCGGGTAGGTTAGGTTAGGCAATAATCTAGAGTCAAGAAGCAAAATAACATATCAAAGAGCAACATGAGGCTGACAAGACGCACATAGAAGTTTCAAGCCTCAAAAAAAATAAAAAATACAGGTTCCAAACATCAATTTCAGTTTCTAGGAATTTAAGCTCCAGTGAAGTAACGCTTCCATACCACTCGATCCATTCACCAACCACCACTAACCTTAAAACTACAACCACACAACAACCACACCACCACATACTTTTACTAGAACAATGAGGAAAAAAGTTTGGACAAATTCGCCTTGCTCTCATGAACGGCATTAATTACTACAAACATTTTAGACTTACGAAATTTTTGTAAACGGCGGCAGACATTTTGTTGTAGTTGCCTAGAGAGAGGACTTGGCAGTTGTCGCAGGAAGAGTGACGGATGTGTTTCATAAGCCCTAGGACATGCAGTAGGTCGGGTAATACATAGTGATCATCTTCCAGGAACACTACATGACCAGTGTAATTGGTCTTCGTTATCTCCAGTCCCTCAAACACTCTGTAAACACAACACCAAGGTTAGGTTAGGTTAGGTAAGGTTAGGTTAGGTTAAGTTAAGTTAGGTTAGGCTAGGTTAGGTTAAGGCTCTAAGGTTTGTGAGTCATCCTTCTTCTCTATGTTCACGTCACTCTCTCCTGTTCATTATCCTCTTCCCCTCCTCATCCACCTCTCTCCTTCCCTCCCTACCAGCGTAATTAGCCTTCCCGTCTGTTCATTAGAGGGTCTACTGTGATCTCTCTCTCTCTCTCTCTCTCTCTCTCTCTCTCTCTCTCTCTCTCTCTCTCTCTCTCTCTCTCTCACCTGTGTATCTTCCACCACCAGTGATGTTTGATCTGGGTGAAGGAGGCCTCGCGGTAGTGGCCGTAGGTGTCAGGCCATCGGTGGTTGAGGCACTTGTCATTGCCCTTCCTGTCAATGTTACAGCCTTAGTGACGACACCGACTCATCCTTTATTATTATAGTATTCAGGTAAATAGTGTGTGAAGAACTTGCATAGTTATATACTGAGTGGATCTAGAGCATTTTACTATTAAGATAAAGTGCTAGTAACCCCAGCATTACTACTAAACTAAACTCCATATTGTTACAGTAATGCCTTAGATATTATTGAAATATTTGTCTTAATCGTTTACCTTAACGTAAATTAACGACTGTTAATGGTAATTCATAGAACAACAGCTTACAGATAATCCCTGGATTAAATTTTTATTTATATGTTTATGTATATCAGTATCTGTCTATGTAAAGGCCCATTAGAACTGGAACCAACTAGAACAAGAGCCCTCCCTCCCTCACCTCACCTCACCTCACCTCACCTCACACTATTCCAGTTACAGTCCCTCGGGTCTCTGCCGGGGTAAGCAAAGGGGTGGAGTTGTATAGAGAATGGGAAGAAGATCTGCATCACACGGAAGTCTGTGATATTCCTGACGAAGGCGTTCATGGCGGGGTCCCACAGGTCGTGGCTGAATATCACCAAAGCCTCCTGGATGCCTCGAACCGCCTTCATGCTCTCCACCAGGTAGCGGAGGTTCCCCAGGCGGTTGTGTACCTGAGGGAGGTGTTCTATCATCACTCTCTCACCTGATGGCTCACAATATGTGTTAAATCATCTCTGTTTGTGTGTGTGTGTGTGTCAGCATGTGTTTGTGTCTACGTCTGTCTCCAAACGCTGCAAACAATGTTTTGATTAGAGAACAGAAACATACACAGGTATAATGAGAACCTTCACGAATGGCCTTGTTCTCATTGTCGTCTGATGTTTCGTGTAGTTAACCTCACAGACTTAATATAAATCTCTACCCTAATGAAACTTACTTTGTGAAGTGGTAATACTTCTATGAGCTTACAAGAATGAATTACTCCAATATTTCACTATTTACTACGTCTTCTTCCGTCTGGTAACAGTGAGGATGGTTCAGCTGTTATCACAAGTTGTATTTTAATAAGTTATCTTGTTATCTTACAGAACCTTGACATGAGTGGCGGACTTGTTCCTCAAAACACTGGTCAAACCTTACAAAAGTCTCCTTAATATTCCTTCAATTATTAAGTTATTGTTAAAGGAAAATGTCAACAATCTAACAAAAAATAACAATAGATTTTTCAGTCGTCATTGAAATCTTGGCCATTCTAGTGAGGAAATTCTGACTGTAACAACGAAACATAAACTTTATAACAAAACAACCAAAATTTATCATTCAGATCCACCACAGGAAGGAACTGAGTGATTGTCAATACACTGCACACAAACACACACAAATATATATGACAATAAGACAGAATATGTAAGAATTCCTCACATTAAACATACCATTAAGTCAAAGATGTGCAAAGAACAAGTAACTCATCGTGAGAAAAGGCAGAAGCACGTCACAAACGGTAAACAAAACAAGCAGAAACTCGTCACACACACACACAAACAAACACATGTAGAAAATATATAAGCGGCAATCCTCAAGTTTAAGGAAACAAAAACAATCAGAAGGTCACCATAATTAAAATATAAACAAGCATAAATTTATCACACATTAATACTCAGGGCAGCGTCAACAAACTACAGGAGTGGATCCAGGAATATCAAAAGGGGGAGGGGGTCCAAGAAGCTGTGGTTGGGGGAACATGGCGAGCGCAGCCTGCTCACCCAGCTGGGGGGTTAGGGGGGGCGCTTTAAGCCCCCCCCCCCCCTACCAAATCCCCAGAATTTTTGGAGAAATCTGACCAATATTATGGGCATTTTGAGGCCATTTTGAAGCCATGCGCACTTGATATTAGGGGATATTCTGAAGTCAATAGTAAATACTTTTTACTATACAAAAATGTCTGCGTACATTACTGCATTATAGAAAATGTACTGGAATTTTCTGGTGAAAGGTGGGGTGGGATGCGGACCCCTAGGAACTCCCTGGATCCGCCCTTGAACTAATAGCAGAAGACAACACAAACACAAGGTTTACTTATCGCGAAGATTACCACGGAGCACCACCACACAGAAGAAAACGGTTCATGATGATCCTTGCAGGGATAACTAACCTGCACCAACAATATACTGGTATTTCTGTGAACGGGGCCGTAGCGATCCTGGTTGTGTACTTTCTGTTCGTTATTGTCCATTTTGAGTTGAACCTTGATCTTGATAATAGCCTCCTTGCTGAGAGACACCTCGGTAGAGTCCACCTCGTGTGAAACTCCTCTTCTTGGTGCGGCCGCCTTGTTAAGGTTGGGACTCCCCACAGGTCTACCCCTTATACGTTTCGGTGGCAGAATTTTTTTCAGATCTAGTTTTGGTTTTGGTTTGTTCTCTTTGGTTACAACAGGCGCACTGACATAGATTTTTGTTTTTTCGTCGTTCTTTTTAACCTCTGTGAAGTCTGTGTTTACTTTATCGATTTTAACCTTTTTCTTATTGTCCCAGATATCAAGCTTAGCAAATACGTCTTTTTTGGTTAACTTTATCGTGGCAGGTTTTTGTGAAGTGTGTTGACGCTTCACTGGTGTGTTTACACCCTGAGTCACATTTTTTGTGGTGGTTTTTTGCACTTTTTCCTTCACCACCACTGAAATGTGCTTTGATTTTACATTATCAACATGTTTCTTAGTTACATTGCTATGAAATACAGAATCTTTATCTTTCCGTAAAATTTCAGGTTTATTATCACTTCTAAGCTCTGACGCGCTGGTATTCGTTCTATTATTTACATTATATGATGCTGAACTGGTATATTGTAATGAAAATTTATTTAGATTCTCTTTAGTTTCAAAATGTTCACTACTAAGATGTGTGGGTGCGGGGGAACGGAGATACTGGCTAACCTTGGGAAAGGCTCGCAGATGGCCCGCAGTTTCGTTGCTCCACCAAGGGGCGAACACTACGTCATTTTTAGTAGAGTCCAGCATCTTCAACTCTAGCTGGATCTTGATGGTCATGCACAGGAACATAAGCGCTACCAGCACCCTCTTCAGCGCCCGTCGCCACCGCATCCTGCAATTCTGGTAAGCATGACAAGTAAGATGCAGGTTGTGAGAATCAATACTAAGTGTTATCGCGCTATCAACATGTGTACAGAAAAATCAGGATATTTTCACCCAAGAAGCGAACTCACAGTTATGTTGTGCTTCCCTGCCTCTATTTAGAGTTTTCAATTACAATAGATACATTATTAGTCAAACAACTTCTGCAATGTAAATTTAACATACATGACAACGATTAGAGAAGCAAGTTATCATCGTTCTCAGTGGGTTAAGTCATCGTCCTCAAAGGGTTAAGTCATCGTCCTCAAAGGGTTAAGTCATGTTCTTAAAGGGTATAAAGTCATCGTCCTCAAAGCGTTATAAATCAACAATGGATCAATTTTCGTATACTTAAAGGATAAAGTCATCGTCCTCAAAGGCTAATGTGGTTCACCAGAAAAAATGTTAAGAAAAATTACACCGATAGAAAAACAACTAAAGACTGACTAAAATTGACTAGAGCAACAGACTAGAACCCTAAATAAAACAAGAGATACTTAGGCTACATAAATTAGGGTAAGAGAGGATGATGGTAGAGATATTAATGGGCAAAGTTGAGGCTAGGAAGGCCGGGGATGGGTGATTGGGTGATGAGTGGTGAGTGATTAGTGGTTATTGAATGGTTAGTGAGTGGTAGCTGTTAGTGTCTGGTTACAGCTTGTTAAGTGATGATTGATTCGGAGAGGTGATTAGTTACTAATTAGTGATTGTCCTGTGAGTGGTGACTAATCCGTGAGTGATGATTGATTAGGTGAATGGTGACTGATCAGTTTGGTGATTGATCAGTGAGTGGTGATTGGATAATATAGGGGAATACTTCAAGGTGCTTAAGTAGGTAGAGCCATCATACTTGAAGTTTTAACACCATAAATTACACTCTTGCCCTCCACCCTCAAGTTTTAACACCATAAATTACACTCTTGCCCTCCACCCTCAAGTTTTAACACCATAAATTACTCTTGCCCTCCACCCTCTTGCCCTCCACCCTCAAGTTTTAACACCATAAATTATACTCTTGCCCTCCACCCTCAAGTTTTAACACCATAAATTATACTCTTGCCCTCCACCCTCAAGTTTTAACACCATAAATTATACTCTTGTCCTCCACCCTCAAGTTTTAACACCATAAATTATACTCTTGCCCTCCACCCTCAAGTTTTAACACCATAAATTATACTCTTGTCCTCCACCCTCAAGTTTTAACAGAATAAACAATACTTTAACCCATCACAATATAAATCATAAGCATCACGATATTTTTGTTTTCAGATTTAATGATGATCAATACGAAACTAACATTCAATTACAACGATAGTCACCAGATGTCAGTTGTCAGGACAGATGAAGAAGCACCACACAGATGATCTCGTTGATATACTCCACCACAATACATTTTAACCATATACCACTCACTCTGATATGACATTGTGCTTGTTAAAAAAAAGGTATAATATCTCACACGTAGAAAACATCCGTCTATTTAGGCCAGGGACAGACTTATTATACGGCAGGCAACACTCTCACCCACCACCACTGTCCGCTTGTCCCCTAAACATACTGTATGTGACCTAGAATGAAGCTTTTCTTTAAGGATTTCTAGTGTGTACTAACATTGACAAAGTTTCGTTTAGCTGAGAAAAAAAAAATTGATATGAATGTTGTAATTGGTAATGGTGGTGGTGGTGGTTAATGGCGGTGATAGTATTGGTGGTCGTAGTAGTGGCGTTGGTGATGGTGGTAGTAGTAGTAGTGATCGTGGTAGTGGTAGTGATAGTAGCAGTGATGGTGGTCGTGGTTGTGGTAGTGGTAGTGATGGTGCTTTAGTTTACCTGTTGTGTTCTCCCGGTCACCATGCCAGTACCGGGGAATGTATTGACCCAATCGTTACTTTGCCCTCTACCCACTACACTAAACACACTACACTAAACACACTCACTAAACACACTCACTAAACACACTCACTAAACACACTCACTAAACACACTCACTAAACACACTCACTAAACACACTCACTAAACACACTCACTAAACACACTCACTAAACACACTCACTAAACACACTCACTAAACACACTCACTAAACACACCCACTAAACACACTCACTCACTCACTAAACACACTCACTAAACACACACTAAACCCACTCTACTAAACACACTCACACACACTCACTAACACACACTCACTAAACACACTCTAAACACACTAAACACACTCACTAAACACACTCACTAAACACACTCACTAAACACACTCACTAAACACACTCACTAAACACACTCACTAAACACACTCACTAAACACTCACTAAACACACTCACTAAACACACTCACTAACACACCCACTACACTACTCACTAACACACTCACTACAACACACACTCACTAAACACACTCACTAAACACACTCACTAAAACACACTCACACACACTACACTAAACACATTCACTAAACACACTCACTAAACACACTACACTAAACACACTCACTAAACGCACTCACTAAACACACTCACTAAACACACTCACTAAACACACCCACTAACACACCCACTAACTAAACAGATGCCAATTAAAACATTTTGTTCCCATCATCCCAGAAAATGAGTTTAATCTGTTTGCTTTCTTCCCATCGTCTTCAAAGGGTTAATTTTCCTCGTTCATTAAAATAACCTCATTTTCCTCAATTAACAGAATACAATTATCTTTCCCGATTTATAAAAAACAGTATAATTATATAATTACCAAAACTGACCTTATTTTCATGAATCCCAAATACGTCAGTTTTCATATTTCACTATAATTCTGATTATTTTTTTCTAATACAACAAAAATAATTTAATTTTCCTCATTCACAAACCTAATTTCCCTGACTTACCCAAACAATTTAATTTGTAAGTTTCCGTTTCAACATTGTAGTGTGTGTGTGTGTGTGTGTGTGTGTGTGTGTGTGTGTGTGTGTGTGTGTGTGTGTGTGTGTGTGTGTGTGTGAGCCGCCTGCGAACAAGGGGGCCTTACCTCACATAACTCTCAAGTATTAATGCCGGGCTGTAAATTCGACCAGAGTCCCACATCCCATTATGAAAATCTCCTGTAAAAGTTTTCAAATTTGTTCACGACAACCTCTTAGCCAGCCAGCGTATATTATTATGGTTTCTTGCTGCTAATGTTCTCATATGTTAACGTAAGGAGTTATTTTTCTGATGTAATGTACTGTATATCTAGTATTTTTTCGGGTGTTCACATGAATATTAACCATCCTAATTGCTTAAACCTTACCTAATATAACTGACGATAACCTAATTTAACTTAACCTAATCTATTCTAATCAATGGTAACCTAATCTAACTGACGGTAGCCTAATTTAATCTATCCAAACCCCCTCCAGGGAGCGTCAGGTGAAATAGATTGGGGGGGTTAATCTTCAGGTGGTGCGATTGTTTATTGTAAGGAACACACACACACACACACACACACACACACACACACACACACACACACACGGTACTGATTTAATATTTTTTTCCGGTTAATGTCGACGGTCTCTTCCCATAAATAATGAATATATGACTTAAAGTTTAATTTACCAGAAATTCCAAAAAAAAAAAAACCTTAATAACATTTGTCTCTGAATGTCGTATTATAGCATAACGAAATCATATATTTTAATGAGACTTCTGGACATGGAATTATATATATATGTACAATGAGATTATAACAGTGAGTATACTAGAAATTGTTGAGAATAATTATAAGCCTTGGTTCACATATTTCTAATGCATAGATTTGTATGTTTGTAATATATTCTTTAATGTATTAACTTAATTTGTTAGTGATGCCACATTATATACATTCATATTCGCTTCGGTCCGTCAATGCGGTACTAGACTTAAAGCATTTCAGTGGCGGTGTATCGAGAGCTGGCCATGCACCTGTGTAAAATGTTGCCTCAGTTCTGGAAAGCAATTTTGTGTGGGAGCAATAAAATGGCCAGCGGAGGTCTATTGTTCTCCGAGTTATTGCTCATTGCCACAATACATTTACCAAATAAAAGTCATCATATGAAATTTATATAAAAAAATGGAATCTAGTTCACGGACGTATTTGAAATAGAGTTGTAAAATTCGAAAAAAAAATATTCTCTTCAGATTACAGCGGGTAAAGATGGGGAGATAATTTCACCGTGTTCAGACTTTACAACAGAGATAGTTTCACCGTGTTCAGACTATACAACAGATAGAGAGATAGTTTCACCGTGTTCAGACTATACAACAGAGATAATTTCACCGTGTTCAGACCTTACAACAGATAGAGAGATAGTTTCACCGTGTTCAGACTTTACAACAGAGATAATTTCACCGTGTTCAGACTTTACAACAGCCACTCAGTCCACTGAGATGAAGTATGGCCACTCATGCGGTCCACTGAGATGAAGTATGGCCACTCTTGCGGTCCACTGAGATGAAGTATGGCCACTCATGCGGTCCACAGAGATGATGGAGGGCCACTCATGTCATGTGGCCCTCTCACTGGCCCTAGGTTGCCCATCAGTGATCTATTAACATGAATGAGTGTCCTATCTCTCTGGTTCCGTTTTCTCTTGTGATATTCTAAGATAATATTTTGAATAGACGAAAATATTATATAAATTAAAAAGCTTTGACCATTAAGTATTTTATAAGTAACAGGATACACAAGTAACAGGAAGTAACAGGATACACAAGTAACAGGAAGTAACAGGATACACAAGTAACAATCAACGATGACTAACACAATTATCCTCAGCCTGTTGAACTGTGACGGACGAATTTACTGCTGTATCATTGTCTGTTTGTCAGTCTGCCCGTTCTCTATTCCTAACTACTTCCCTCCTTCCTTCCTTCCCTCCCTCCCTTCCTTCCTTCCCCCATCCATACTGCTCTCTCTCTCTCTCTCTTTCCTACCTCCCCTTTTTCCTCTCTCCCTCCCTCCCTCTCCTCTCCTCCTCTCCTCTCCTCCTCTCCCTCCCTCCCTCCTGCCCTCTCTCCCTCCCTCCCTCTCTCTCTCTCCCTCCCTCCCTCCCTCCCTCCCTCCCTCCCGCCCTCTCTCCCTCTCTCCCTCCCTCCCAGCCTACAAACAACGATAAAATAACTCACTTCAGCAATTACTGTTAAGTGGGAGTGTATATTGGTGTCCAAATTCCCGTGTTTGAGGTGCACGGTCCAGTAGTCACGTGGGAGCGGTGATAACACTCGCATCTGCCTGCCATTTTATATAACATTATTAACCCCCGACTCATACCTGTCGGCCAATTTTTGTTTACACCGTGTTTATGTTTTTGCCATTTACAAAACGTTTTATTTATTTATTTATTTGTTTATTTTTAATTATACGTGTGGTTTTAAGTCTTACCTGCGGGAGAACATTAAAAAAAATAGTTTTATATCCCTCTTACTTAATATCTGTGAGACTTGTAAGATCTCCACGTGAAAATTTTGCTGGTTTAGGGTGTCAGTTAGTGGGTGGAGGAGGCTCAGCAGGGTGGGTGGTAGAGGGCCGGAAGCGGAGCATTATGAGGGAGAGCAGTATCCTCCCTCGTCAGTGTCAACAGGTAGTGGGGACAGTCTACACTCTCCACTCTTCTCATCATTCTTATCTACACATCAGCTCTTGCCTCCGTAGTTCATCAAAAATATCCGTTGTTCAGTATCTTCTTTTGTTCTGTTGAGCAATTTGTTTCATGACAACAGGCACGTCTTGTTTACACCAGGCACGTCTTGTTTACAATATAATGTCGTTCTAATAATTGTTTACAGTCGAAGGCAGTGCAGCTCAGTCAGCCTCCACATCATATTGGATAAATCACCTAAAAATTATCACACCATTTCGGCTCTTTTTTTTTTAATCTAATTATAATTGACTCCCAAACGACAAGAATTTTTTTTACAGAAAAATACCTTAATTACACTCCTTTATGTGACTGATGTAAGGACGTAATGACCGCCATACAAACAGGTCACATTATTATTAATTGTGGCATTTGTCAGCTTGTACAAATACTAATGACAGACGCTAATATATCAGGCTATTGTATGGTGTAACATTGAGGTAGATCCGGCTGTCTGGAGTCCATCCTGAAGACAAATATCAGTACTTTAGTTAGCCAGCCTTGTCCGGGTGAGTGGCCCGCCATAACTAGGAAGATATTTGGTCTACTCGCGGTTACTAGTAGGTGTTTGGTCTACTAGCAGTTACTAGAAGGTGTTTATTACTGCATATTACTGTAACCGTTATGAAATATTTTGCACAACACCCTCGCTGTCATTGGTCACCGTCAGTCGAAGCCTCAACTTCCGTCTCAGAGAACGTGACAGAACCTGCCAACAACACAGGAACACAATATAAACACTGACGTCACCGGGGAACACAATATAAACACTGACGTCACCGGGGAACACAATATAAACACTGACGTCACCGGGGAACACAATATAAACACTGACGTCACCGGGGAACACAATATAAACACTGACGTCACCGGGGAACACAATATAAACACTGACGTCACCGGGGAACACAATATAAACACTGACGTCACCGGGGAACTCAAATACAAACTCAACAATCACTTACTCCTACAAACAGCGAAGTTTAGTCGTGAATGCCTTATTTCTAAACACTGGAATTTGCTCAGCCTAGCTACCACCACGCAGCTGATGGTTGGGAACAATCTGGTTAAGCTATTATTGTCCTAAATCTATATACTTCAACAACAATGAGTCTTTTAAGTCCGTACACTGAGTTCATACAGTAGACAATAGCCAATAGGAATTAAGTACAAGTGTTTCTTTACTATTGGTAGACATCGGACTAACCATAGACATTCTTGAAGGTTTACAACACGACATGAAGGGACATATTTGAATATTATCATACTGCATTTATCATCAAGACGAGATATCGACTGTATAGCTGTGATAACTCTGAGTGACTACATATAGATAAGGACCTGCTCTCACTCTCTTCCTTGTCTGCTTTGTTTACTTCATGTTCACCTCTTATCACCTTTTTATTGTTTTCACGTTATATTTTCCTCCTCACCGCAGTGGGCTGAGTTGAGAGATATATATTATACATTTATATATTATACATGTCACCCTAGGTAGGGGATACTCGTTCAATTAAGCCTTTAAAAAACAATTAACTTTTTTGCTAAGTAATGGTGATATGTTTTTCAAAGTTGTAACGTCATAAGAATTAGTTAATATCAGGTTAATCTTTTGATATATTGTATCGTTTCGTATCGTTACTATCGTCAGGTTTATTTAGGTTTTTTTATTCATTTAAATTTGGCATTAAATTTTTTTACTTTTTGGTGTGTGTGTGTGTGTGTGTGTTTGTGTGTGTGTGTGTGTGTGTGTGTAAAATGGTGACACTCACACTGGAACTACCACATTCATCTATTAAATTTCAGGTTCCTGTTGTTGACGAAAAAATAACCTTGTATTGCAGGTGTGTGTGTGTGTGTGTGTGTGTGTGTGTGTGTGTGTGTGTGTGTGTGTGTGTGTGTGTGTGTGTTTCCCTGATAGACTCCCGCTCAAATAAATTCATATATTTTTTAATTGAATCCAGTTTCTATATGTCGCTATAGTCGCTGACAATCCCACACTATTAATATTTTCCTTTTTCATGTTTAAAAAATATATAAACAGTATATATATATTTTTTCAGACATAGAGACATACATCAAATTAAACAATAATATAAATGACGATTGTAAAATATTTTAAATTATGGTTTTTTTTTTTTTTTTTTTATAACGAAGAGAATAAAAATAACAAATTTGTTTATTAAATTTTATGATTGATATTAATAACAAGCATTTGTGTTTATGTTACCCTTGATCAGGAGTACAGTGATCAAACTCAATGTTCACTTGATCAAACTCAATGTTCACTTGATCAAACTCAATATTCAATTGATCTAATTATGTTACCTTGAACAAATTACGTTAAATTGATCAAACTATATAAACTCACTCAAACTTTTAACTTGATAAAACTCTGTTAACTTGATCAAACTCTGTTAATTTGATCAAACGCTCTGTCAGCTCGTTCAAATGGTGGTTTTTTTTTTGTCAACTTGTGTGAAATGTTGAAAATACGAGTAAGTGGAATGATTATGGAGCCACAATGAATAGTCGTGAAATGAGGAAGGGTTTGAAAGAGAGAGAGAGAGAGAGAGAGAGAGAGAGAGAGAGAGAGAGACTTCTCATTACCCTTCACAATATTTCGCACTATATTAATCCCCCCTCGTTCATATACGCTAAAATACCCCTACACCTTCCCACCAAACAGCACACATTTCATACACTCAAACATCGATTTTTACTTACGCAGCTGTCCTCAATACGCATGATGGACCGACAAATAAGCGGATATTTATTACGCAAATGAAAAACCCGCTCCAACTACCGGTGTTGCCATCAGCATTACAAACTGTTCACCCTGGTCACGGAACACACGATAGCTACTAAAGGGCTTAAACGGCGAACTATAACACAAAGCAAAACGAGTCTTGTGTTAGGCGGGCGTTGAGGTAGTTATGTGGTGGCCTGAAGGGAGACAAGAGAGGCGCCACTGATCAATAAGACGAGAGGTGATGCTGTGTGATGCCCTTCCCACCTGAAACGGTGTTTCCTGAGCACACATTTCATACACTCAAACATCGATTTTTACTTACGCAGCTGTCCTCAATACGCATGATGGACCGACAAATAAGCGGATATTTATTACGCAAATGAAAAACCCGCTCCAACTACCGGTGTTGCCATCAGCATTACAAACTGTTCACCCTGGTCACGGAACACACGATAGCTACTAAAGGGCTTAAACGGCGAACTATAACACAAAGCAAAACGAGTCTTGTGTTAGGCGGGCGTTGAGGTAGTTATGTGGTGGCCTGAAGGGAGACAAGAGAGGCGCCACTGATCAATAAGACGAGAGGTGATGCTGTGTGATGCCCGTTAACGAGAGGGGTGTTCCTGATATACGCTTCCTGAGGGTGCTGCGTGAGTGACGGTGTTTCCTGAGGGTGCTGCGTGCGTGAGGGTGTTTCCTGAGGGTGCTGCGTGATGGTGTTGTGCGTGCGTGAGGGTGTTTCCTGAGGGTGTGCGTGATGTTTCCTGAGGTGTGGTGATGGTGTTTCCTGAGGTGCTGCGTGATGGTGTTTCTGCTGCGTGAGGTGTTTCCTGAGGGTGCTGCGTGCGTGAGGGTGTTTCCTGAGGGTGCTGCGTGCGTGAGGGTGTTTTGAGGGTTCTGCGTGAGGGTTTCCTGAGGGTGCTGTGCGTGATGGTGTTTCCTGAGGGTGCTGCGTGATGGTGTTTCCTGAGGGTGCTGCGTGAGTGACGGTGTTTCCTGAGGGTGCTGCGTGTGAGGTGTTTCCTGCTGCGTGCGTGAGGTGTGTGTGCGTGAGGGTGTTTCTGAGGTGCTGCGTGCGTGAGGTGTTTCCTGAGGGTGATGCGTGATGGTGTTTCCTGAGGGTGCTGCGTGATGGTGTTTCCTGAGGGTGCTGCATGCGTGATGGTGTTTCCTGAGGGTGCTGCGTGCGTGAGGTGTTTCCTGAGGGTGCTGCGTGGTGAGGTGTTTCCTGAGGGTGCTGCGTGATGGTGTTTCCTGAGGGTGCTGCGTGATGGTGTTTCCTGAGGGTGCTGCATGCGTGATGGTGTTTCTGTGCTGCGTGAGTGAGGGTGTTTCCTGAGGTGCTGCGTGAGGTGTTTCCTGGGGTGCTGCGTGCGTGATGGTGTTTCCTGAGGGTGCTGCGTGCGTGGAGGTGTTTCCTGAGGGTGCTGCGTGGTGAGGTGTTTCCTGAGGTGCTGCATCCTGAGGGTGCTGCGTGAGGGTGTTTCCTGAGGGTGCTGGTGAGTGAGGTGTTTCCTGAGGGTGCTGCGTGCGTGATGGTGTTTCCTGGGGTGCTGCGTGAGGGTGTTTCTGAGGGTGCTGCGTGATGGTGTTTCCTGAGGGTGCTGCGTGATGGTGTTTCCTGAGGGTGCTGTGAGTGAGGTGTTTCCTGAGGGTGCTGCATGCGTGATGGTGTTTCCTGAGGGTGCTGCGTGATGGTGTTTCCTGAGGGTGCTGCTGCGTGAGTGAAGGTGTTTCCTGAAGGTGCTGGGTGAGTAAGGGTGTTTCCTGAAGGTGTTCCATGATGGTGTTTCCTGAAGGTGTTCCATGATGGTGTTTCCTGAAGTGTTTCTTGAGCTGGTGTGTTTTTAGGATCAAAGCTCAAAGGCCAGAGCTTTAAAATATGACAGACGGTGTGAGTTGACAATTCAGCTAATACTTGGTTTAGTATGGGAGAGGCTGGTCGTGTATAGAGAATTATGGGGTTACAGTGGCAATTTGGAGTCCAGATTGCCGGAAGTTATGTCACTTTAATGTTTTCTGACACATATTTTAGATATTTGAACCGTACTTTGTGATATTTATCTTAGATATGACTCTTTACCCACTAACAAGATACCATATCAAAGGTCAGATTGAGTTGGATGATATCAGTGTTTTAACTTTCATATTATTTAGAAATGTCCAAAAGTCCGTAATGACAGAAGATGCTGATAATATACCCCATCTGAGGCCTTTGTTGTGATATTTCCACATGCTAAGTTGGCTAACGTTCATCACTGGCACACGGGCGAGAGACCGCACTTTCCTCCACTTCCGCCTCGTTATGCTTCTCTTTTATGCGTGTTTTCGTCTCTTGTTCCAGTAACATTATCTTATGATGGTCTTTCTGAATTATCCTCTTTTTATACATTTTTATCTACTCTATCTTCTTATATTCACTGTATTATATATATATTATACAGGACAACACCAGTGTGCCATTCAAAAAGTTTATCTGTACAGTATAGCGTGTGTTATGTGAACGAGAACATCCTCCCCACACCACTAACTTTCACATTGTACTCTTGCTGTGGTTTCCTGTGCTCCCCTGGTGCTGCACACACACACACACACACACACACACACACACATACACACACACACACACACACACACACACACACACTAACTAACTACTAATATTTTGCTGTCACTCGGAATCGATTATGACGATCATCCATCTATGTTACAATGATAATTATGAGTTATTGGTGATGTTACCTTCATTGGTGACTCGAGAGGCCGATACGGGATCGCCAGGGTCATCCACACATGTCGCAGCAGCGTCTTTCCGGCGCTGGCGCTTATCTACTTCAGTATGCATTCGGTCATTCAATTATTCTTTCACTCACTCAATCAGTCAGTCAGTCATTCAGTCAGTCTGGAGAGGCGTTCATAGAATGCGATCTCTTAAGACTGCAAATGTGTTTACATTTTTCGGCTGCCCAACGGTTGTCCAGTTTCTCGCTGATCAACACGCTAGGAATCATGGCATCCTGTTCGGAACTGTTTATTTTAGAGGAACCACAGTACAGGCTCTCAGAAATAACACTATAGATGCAGTAATAACTCAGAAACAACAGTACAGTTAGTATTACCTGAGAAAACTTAATGTTGTGTCTTATTCCAGATTGAATTCAAGGTGACCTGAATCCTTGACATACATTAGAGAATATTACCTGCACGAAATATATCTCATAAGGTTAAATCCAGCAAAGGGAACGTGAGTGAATGTCAAGTGTGTAATTAAACTGTTGTGTAAGAGGTCGCATGAGAAGCACCACTTTTCTGCATGACGGGGACAACTGGATGACATCACAGCCAACATTACATGACAGGCAACACAGAAACACTTGACACCCAACACAGGAGAAACACTTGACACCCAACACAGGAGAAACACATAACACCCAACACAGGAACACATGACACCCAACATCGAATCGCATGACAATCATACTGGGTTCGCATGGCAACCACCACTGGACTCATCTTGAAAGGCATGATAGAAGCACCCACATCGTATCCCAGCAACGCACCCACTGCCAGAGGATAGTGAAGGAGACGATCCCCATTTATACTGACGATACTGAAAGCAAGAACAACCTAGCTCCATTTGCTCTATATTGTCCTCACCTGTATAGATGTTCCAAAATACACCTAGTTAAAGGCAGAGTACACCCAGTTATGGCACAGTACACCCAGTCACAACCATAATACACCCAGTCATAACACAATACACCTAATTATAACACAGCGGTTATCTAGGTAACTGTTATGGTTGCTTATGACTTGGCGCTCTGCTTACAGTTTCCACACGTTTGTTGATGGAACCTTTATAAGAGGTAGTAAATCCCGAGTTCCTGTTGTCATCAAAATTCTCTATGTATTTTCTTGAGGATTGAATTGTATTACTGTATAAAGTGATGTGATTTTTTATATTTTATTTACTTATTTATTTATTTATTTTTTTTTTGGCGGAAGGGGGGATCATTTTTGTGTTTTCTTTCTTCAACAAACCTCGCCTGGTCCTGGGCAAACGAATTTCCATAAAATATTTCCAATTGTAAATATTTAGTCGCTATAGAATGTTTTGCCTTTCATATAAGAAGTAGATTGTAATAAAACACTTGGGCATTCAACTGAATATAAAAAGAACAATGTTTTTTTTTGGTTTACAATTGCTCAAGCTAACCGTGACCTTCAATGAGCATAACAGCTAACTAGAGTCATTTAGTGAGCATAATCGTTGACTAGAGCCCCTCAGAGAGCCTAACAGATGACTGG